GGTGTGAAGCCTTCTGCTTATTTAGTTAGTCAGCTTCAGTTAGTCAGATAATTTTAACTAAAAAGTTTGTCAACTAACTTAAGTTGACTATCTTTAGATACAGCATTTTTAGTTAACTTAGTAATTAATTTTTTTATAAACTTTCATTTAGCAGCACTGTGCTCAATCATCTAGAATAGTATTCTATTCTATTATAGAATATGCTGTACTCTCAATTTCTTGAGTGTTGAGTCCAAACGACGCAAAGTTCAAGATTGTGACAGTTGTAATGAAACAAAATAGTTTTAATAAAAATAATCGCTAATATTTAAATTGTTTCTCAATTTTGTCTTTAAATTGATTGACGGTGCTTGCATCTATTGCATTTTGTTCAAAATCGTTCCAATCATTCACTACTGTATTTGTAAAGAAGTTAAATCTTTTCATGTTGGTTGTTAACTGCCTTCTTAACTTTAAATTGTTTTTCTTTCATTATCAATAATTTCTGATGGACAGTAAAAATTAATTATGTCATATCCTTTAAAACATTTAAACATTTGAATTAAATTTCCTCTTCTTTTTCTATTTTCAAACGATATTAGTTGCTCTTTGTTGGACTTTCTCTAATTTATCTTTATCATACTGCCAGTACGGGTTCCATGTTGTGGCTGCGTATTCTAAGCGAGGTCTAAGTAATGAGAAAAATAACATCTTCATCATAGTCTCATTCATATATGAAAGATATGTTTGATTCAAATCAAACATGTCTTTCATTATATAAAAATCAAAAACCAAGTTTTTGATTTGCTTAGTTCACTGTACAGTTTACATAATTATTCCATTCCAAATCGTCTGAAATTAGAACTCCTAAATCTTTTTCAAACTTGTATTCACTCATTTTTTGCCCTCGATCATAAATTCGAATTGTTGTTGACTATTACCAACTATCATTATTTTGCATTTTTGTTTATTGAATTTTATTAACCACTCATTTGACCATTCTACAAACGAATTAATATCTTGTTCTAGTTCAATTGAATACTTTACATCTTTGATAGCTCCTAAGAATTTCATGTCATCAGCAAACATTTACAAATTGATTTGATTTTTTTTGTTATGTCATTAATAAATACAACAAATAAAAGAGGACCTAAAACTGAACCTTGCAGTACGCCGCTTACAACCTCCCCCCATTCTGATTCAAAACTATCTAATACCACTCTGCTATCTGTTTTTTAAGAAGCCTCTACACTATTTTAATACTTTAGATTTAAATCCAAGGCTTTTTAATTTAAATAATAATTTCTCATGGTCTACCAAATCAAATGCTTTAGCCAAGATCTTCTCTTTGTTTTTTATTGTTTTCCTTTCAAAAAACTTCACTCAAGATCTTCTCTGATCAAAATAACAATACCCCTAAATTTTATCCATTTGACATATTTTATATATGTATTTTTTGGTGATCATAATTTTACCAAATTGAACTGCTTAATTCTAAGTATCAGTGAGCTTGCTGGCTCTAAAACTTAAAATTTTCACTTTTTCTAACCCCTCACCCAAATAGTCAACTTTCTAATTTATTTTTAAGACAACTTAAACCACTCAACTTTGCACATTTGTATATCTCTAACTCTAGCTTGTGCTCAGTTTTGTCTTGTTATTCTTTAGGTAGTTCAAACAATGCTATAACCTCATTAAAACTTGTATCTCCTGCTTCTTATATATAATAAAACTGCTTAGTACTGCATTAAATCTGACTGGAATTTCTTATATAATTTTCTTTGCTATGGTATTTTGTTTCTTTGTTAAACGTTGTGCTTCATAAGAACTCCTAGATTCAAGCAGGCATAAGAACAAGCACCTTTTTAATAATGCAAGAAATTGATTGTCTAAATAAAAAATAAATAAAAAATGAAATTTTTTGGTTTGATTTTAAAATGCATTCTATGCGCTAAACACTGTACAGTAAAAACCGGGTTAAGTGATATTTTTTAAACAAAATTTATCATCTAAGAATATCACTTAGCCCAGTTTTTTCTTAGTAGAAACACATGGAACACATTTTAACATCAAACTAAAAACTCTAATTTTCGGCACTTGACTAAGATATTATATTTAATTTTAAAGTTATGTCTCATTATTCTCAGAATTTAAAATCTTGTATTTTAAGCTCTAGAATAGGTTTTAAAAAAAATACCACAATTTCCTCACCTCAAAATACCTTTAAAAAGAATCTTTAAATTTAATTTTTGGTGGATCATTCCCTCTTTCAAGTTTCGGTTGCTCAACCTTTTAATTTGAATATAGACATTATCTTCAAAAAAACTTAAAGCAAAACTGATTTCATTGAAATACCATAAATGGTTTGACATTTTCTAGACGGTTATTTTCAAAATATTTACACTTTTGTACACATTTACATTTTTGTACACAGCCTATTGCTTTAGCAGTTCTAAGCCATTTGCAGGAGCCTTTGAGCTTGAAGAAAAATTTAAATCAATAAAGTATATAGCATTCAAGTCAAACAAACCACTTCTCTCAATCCTTTAAAATCTCTTTACCTAAGTTTAAACTGATTGCACAATAAATACACTTTTGATGATCAATATTTTTATCTATAGTACTTGATGAATCCCAGCAGGTGCTCAAAATACTATGCATTTTGGTGGTTGCTCTTTGATAAAAATCAATGGGTATTTGGGAAGCTCCCATGGACTATGTATCAAACTGATTTCTTATGACCAACAGATATTTTTCTAAAATGTTGTATTTTGAACCATTATAATGTCTATACAATTATTCATATTTCTTAAAAAAAGTATCTTTACAAAACAACAATATCCATTTTTTGCCAAAGATTAAACTTTATTAATATTTCAATAGTTTAAGTGTTATGAAAAATATTAATGTTTCAATAGTTTGAGTGATTTATAAATAGTTTGAGGGAGTCTTTAACAAACTCAGTGATGTTTTCAAGGAATGGTTTCATCATTTTCTGATGAGAGTTATTTGATGCATTTTGTTTTGAATATAAATGATCAGCAAACTCATTTTCTTACTCCGCATTTGGATACTCTGATAAGTACATTTCTATAGCATATTTATAGCAGTTATCATAATGCTTATATCGCATCTGAGTCAAAGAATATATTCTAAGATTTGATCAGAAAATGATTGATAATTTTTTCAAAAAATAAAAAAGATACACTAGCTCCACTTCTACATTCCACATACATTTGTAAAAAACTTGGTTGAATACTCCAATATTTAATAGTAGCTACTAATTGAGCGATCAGCTCATTTGAGTTATTAAGTTATCATTGGAGTTACTAAGTTCCTTCTACCAAACTAAATATTGAGTGATTTGTAATTTACCAATGTTTCATCCTTTTACTCTAACTGTTCTTTTATGTTCAAAAAACAATTTTTAAATCTAGAACTCTCTCCCATCTAAATGTTTTTGCGATTCATGTAATTTATAGTTTTTTACTTTCTATATTTTCAATGTTTACAGGGTAGCCACATAAAATTTTCATAAGAAAAAGAGGATATTAGCTAATTTTAAAAGAGATTTTGCATTTAATATAAAGGATTTTTTCCACAAAACTACAGAATATTTAATAAAAATAGATGATTTTAGTTTATTTTTAAAAATAGGTTTAATATCCATACTTTATTAATGTCATTTTTTATGCTAAATGACATGAATTAGCCACATAAAATTTTCATAAGAAAAAGAGGATATTAGCTAATTTTAAATGAGATTTAGCATTTAATTTAAAATATTTTTTTCGCAAAACTACAAAATATTTAATAAAAAAAAAAGATTTTAGTTGATTTTTAAAAATAGGTTTAACATCCATATTTCATTAATGTCATTTTGCAGATCATAATATTTTAACATTATACTACCATAAAGAAATAAAAAAAAAAGAGAAGCTAAAGAGGAGATTTTATCACAAAAAATCTCCTCTTCAACTCCTTAACTTTTTAAAGAATAGGATAGGGGTTGAGTCATATTTTATGTACGTAAACTAATTAAGTGAAAAACGCAACTCACATATTGCGGATTAAAAAGTAAATAAAAAGCTCTTTTGTTTTAAAAGTATTTTCGAACAAAAGAGTTTTTTTACAAGCAATTTACATACATTACATGAGTTTGTTGGGAAAAATTCAATCACAAAAAAATGTAATATTTACTTATCAGGTTTGAATATATTAAAAGGAAAAGATAAAAATTTTAAATATTCTTTAAAAACGGATTTTTATTAATAGACGTAACAAAACATTTTACTTTTGCTTACCATGATGTTGCTTAATTATGCAATATTATTTTGTAAAGCGCTTTTTAATTTTAAATATTCTTAGTTGCGCTTTTGCTTTTTTTGTTTATGTACATACAATACGACTCAACCTAAAATAAGTTATATAGAAGTTTTTAAAAAAGGTTTCTAAAAAAGAGAACTTTAGAGGATTTTAGAGGAGCGATGGCCACCCTGTTTTAACTATTTTATTTACAACTTTAATTCCTAATAACTCCAAACATAAATATTGGTTTTCTAATTAAATTATTGCGTATATACTCAAATATAATTATATCAAATATACATTGCATGCATACCCAAATAGAAACAATAATATTCAATAAGAATATTATTATTATACATATTGAATTACATTATGAATATTATTATTATACATATTGAATATTAGTATTATTTTCTTATTAATAGATTCTGAGATTTGTTTTAAACTAACCTTTTCGACCGACAATACTAATTAAAGGCCAATTTCATCAAATTTTTACTTTAAAATCATATTTTATTAAAATAATATTAATTTGAAAAATGCTAGAAACTTCATTTTACTAATGCTTTGATTAAAACTGAAAAAATTATCTAAATAGAGTAAGATGCTGTTATAATATCGTCAGTAGTGAATTGAATTTCAGTTTTATAAAATAAAGTAGATACAAAAATCTGAAAATATCTTTTAAACCCATACACTATTAAAAATCTTACTATTCTCAGTTTGTTCCATTGGATCTTTATTTTGGGAAAATTTTGTAAAGGAAAATGGGTTATCTTCCATTTTTATAGGTATTTTATTTCACTTAAACTTAAACCATGATTTATGTTTGTTTACTAATATTTATACCGGTAACCGCAATATTAAACCATTAAATACTATTTGGACGTAAAAGAAAAAATTAAAATGAACGTCAAGTCGGTTGTCTTTATTTGGTAGTGTGTCTACTGCCGGTCAAAAAATGTTTTCTGCAAAATACTCAACAAAGATAAGTACTTTTGCGTTCGTCTAAAATTAAAAACTAAGTAGATAAATATATATATATATATATATATATATATATATATATATATATATATATATATATATATATATATATATATATATATATATATATATATATATATAAGTATATATATATATATATATATATTTTTTATATATATATAGTATTATAATATATATATATATATATATATATATATATATATATATATATATATATATATATATATATATATATATATATATATATATATAATATAATGTATATTATATTATATATATACACATATATATGTGTAAAGAAGAGACGAAGTAGGAGAATGTACATATATACATTCTCCTACTTTGTCTCTTCTTTCCTAGTCGTTAAACTTCTATCCATTTTTTTTTCTTCTTTTTATCTGTTCTATTTTTTGTTATTGATATTATTATGATTCTTATATTTTTATTTTTCATTATTATTAATGATAATCACTTTTTGCTACAAATGTTTTATTTTGATTATAGTAGTAATATATATATATATATATATATATATATATATATATATATATATATATATATATATATATATATATATATATATATATATATATATATATATATATATATATATATATATATATATATATTTATATATATATTATGCTGTTTTATATTACTGTATTTAGTATTATTATTAATATTTATTTCTATTATAATTAATATTATTTATTATTATTATTATTATTGTTAATATTATTATTACTATTATTATTATTATTGCTATTATTGCTATTATTATTATTATTATTATTATTATTATTATTATTATATTATATTATATTATTTATATCATCATAGGTCTTTACATGTCATCAGTTTATAGCTGTTTTTAAATGTCCCGCACAGTTGTATATATATAGTATTATAAAAATGAAAATATATTGATTTGATTTTGATTTATATGTATATATATACACACATATGTGTATATATATATATATATATATATATATATATATATATATATATATATATATATATATATATATATATATATATATATATATATATATATATATAAACCTAATGGAATGTTTCTTTTAATACACAGTTAAAATTAATAAAAGTTAAACATGTAAATCAATTTTTTATTTATTTATTTTTTTATTCAATTTACATCAAAATTTTATTTTGTAAGTAAATTTTATATTTTTATCTTTTTTATATGTGTGTGTGGTTTCTTATCAAATTTTAATTTAGTTTTCTCTTTCACCTTCATTTTTGGGGTTTTTATTTTTTAGTTAATTTTTTCCCTCTTAATTTAGAGCAAAAGTATATGCATATAACTATAAATCAAATTATAGACTAAATAAAATGGCAACTTTAAGTAAGAAAGATATTGATGATCTTCAGCCAATCATTCGAGAAACGGTTTCAAAAAGGTTAGGTTTTCCAGAAAAAGCTGTTATGAGAGCTGCATTGTCATGTATAGTTGATAATTTAGACAATGAACGGTCAACAGAAAAAATGGCTTCTCTCTTAGGAGATGATCTTGCTCCACGATTTGTTGAAGAACTCATGAATAATGTATCTAAATTTAGGTAATAAAATTTTTTATTTTGTTCAATTTATTTTATAATTGTTATGGTAAATCTTGCAATTGAAGTTATTTAAAATCTTTTTTTTTTCCTTTTAATTTGTAATATTGTATATTTCCTTTTAATTTGTAATATTGATTGTCTAGTCTAACCCAAATACTTAGTGTGTTTCTGTACACTTAATTTTGATTATTCCTAAATGAATTAATTTATATATATATATTTTTTACATCTACCCCTAAGTAAAACTGTGGTTTTATATATAAGGAAAGACTATGTTTCAAGCATTTTTTTACACCTAATATTTGAAAGTTTACATTTTTTATGATCAATTTTTCAAAATAGTATATCAATTTAACAATTGTACTAATACTCAATGGGTGTTTACCAATACTACACCGGACCACACCAGACTGCACCGGACCACACCAGAATATTAAAAACAATCTTAGTAGAGCAAAATATTCTTATATTAAATAAATGTATTAAGTTACATTCGTAAGACATAAATGCAATAAAAATTTATACAAAAAAAAAATTTGAAAAATTTAAATTTTTACAACAATTTTAATTGTGCACCCACAGGTAAAAACATATTTTAGTCAGAATTTTGTAGCATGCGTGTATCTCATTCACGTGCTCGCACCCTTATCATATATTAATGTTTTTGATTTTTTGAAAAAAAAATTAATTTTCATAAATACGTGTTTGGATTTAAGCGGAACAGTAGGCTTTTTTATGAGATTAATAAGTTATTCTTTAGGACTGCTTGCCTTAATCAAAAACCCTTTTGCACTTGCATGTACACTTCACTGCGCCTGTCCCTATTTTATTCAGTCGATGTATGAACACTCTACTGCGCCTGTCCCAATTTTAGTCAGTTGAAGCATGAATACTTCACAACGCCTGTTGCTATTTTTAATTTTAATTTAAATTTTTTTTTTTAGTTTTATAATTTTTATTGTATATATGTATCACAAATATAAATTAGGTATGTTTTGCTCTATTAAAATTGTTTTTTTATACTACGGTGTGGTATAAAAATCTTTTTTTCAAATAAAAAAACGCAAGTAAAAAAATTAGGTTTTTAAATCAAATTTTATCTAGATATATATCTAGGTATAATTTATCTAGAAAATGAAAAGTAAAAAAATCATAAATTTTATATTTGATTAAAATTTTCTTTGACTACTGAAGATTATTTTTCCTTAAAATTAAAATAAATAAAAATTTAAATAAAAAACTGCTGTTAAATAAAACACATTAAAATTAAAATTGATAATTTTATATAGTTGATTATTAACATATAAATGTATATTTTATATATTTTTATAATATTATAATACTGTGTAATTTTTTAAAAAATAAAAATAAAGAAAGAATTAAAGAAAAAATAAAATTATTTCTTTAAAATTAAAATGTTTGTATATCAACCATAGCATTCTTTACTACAGGCCTAATCTTTTTTCTACAGCAAAAAAGATGATAAATTTGTTAAAACGTAATTTTAAAACTAAATAGTATTTTAAATTCTATGTATAGCCTAATAACTTTTTTTGATAAAAAAAAATTATAATAATTAAGAAATAATAATCTTAAGTCATAAGCAACATATATAACACAGATATTCAATAAAACACAGAGATTTTACGCATTATATAGTTGTATAATTTTGCCCTAGTTTTGGCTTTACTCTTTTTTATGGCTAAAAAACAAAATTGATTTTTTTTTTCATATTGAATAGAATTATTAAACCAAACTAAGAATATTAGACAAATTTTGTTTAAAATTGTTAACAAAATCTAAAAAAAAACACTACTAAATAAAACTTTTATAAATTTTCTATAAAATAGTATACTGAATATGTTATGAATAAAAAACAATTAAGTAGACTTTAAGAAAAATTTTAATACTTTTAGTGCAGGTTCTTTAGCAGATCTTTAAGTGACAGTGGTACATAATTTTTTTTTAATGTTGCTTAATATTATATTATACAATAATATTCTTCCATATCCAATAAATAATAATCTAATATAATCATAAAAATACTACTTGAAGATTTTCTGCAAACATGGTATGAATTATCAGTTGGAATTCTTAATCCACCACAATCCAAAAATTTTGAAAACTGACCATATTTCTGCTAATAGAATGTTGTTTGAGCTTAAAGTTCATAAATAGTTCTTTCTTTATATTTCTTGTAATAAAGTGATATTTTGACATCATCCCCAATAGAAGATTTTAGATCTTGCAAGTTATCAAGAATTTTGCAGCAGTCTTTAGACTATTTGTAATCACATAATGCACATTGATGACCAGACTTCATATCCTTTTTTTTAGGTGATCTGGTGTCAATTGACCAAGAAGAACATAGTTTTGTGTAGTGTAAGTAAATATCAACATAAATCTACTAGTCCATAACAAGCTTGATATATACAAATTGCAGTATATTTAGAACACTGTTTAATACGTTTACCTTGGGAACCTGCCATTTTAAGTGCTATATCACCAAATTGTAGTATTAAATTTTAACGTTTATTGTGAGGATTATTGATAGCAGCCTGCAAAGTATGATTATTCCTTGTATCAGCACCAATAGCTTTGACATTTAAAATTTTCTACCAAATAATAACTCTATTGATAAATATAGCAGTGTCGTTAACATCACTATAAATCATATTAGGATGTTGCAAAAGTGCAGTGTAAGTTTTTTCAGAAAATATTCTTAAAACCGTCAAAACACACTGTTGTTCAACAAGTTTTAGAGAAATAGAAGTTTCATTCGGGTCTTCTCACTTTAAAAAGCTTCTGGATTCTGCATAAAAAAGCTGCTTTAAATGTGTATATTTTGCAATCCTGTTTATTCCATTATCGTCAAATATTAATTCCTGAGTTTTTTCAGTTAACCAAGTATTACAAATATTTTTAATGAGGTGTACAAAATCATAAAGTAAATACATTCCATCTACTGTTAACCATGGTTTTCCTAGAACGAATGTGTACATTTAAAAAAAAGCTTGATTGACATGGTTCCTATTACATATAACCCTTGGTGACAAAAATTTGGCTCAATCTTTGAGAAACTAAAACTTATTGAAATTTTATTATTCAAAGTTATTCAGTCTTAATTTTTTAGATGTTTTGTTTATAAATCTTTTTCTGAAAGTTTTGTTTACTTAAATTAATTAATAAAAAAGTTATCCAAAAATGAAGCCGACTACATTAATTAAACAAGTGTACAACTATTTTTTGTAACTATTAATTTGCATGCTAACGCTAAAACGAAAAGCATCGTAGACCCAAAAAGAACCATCAAACGTTATATAGCAAAGTGGAAGAACAATGAGCCAATGTTTCATAAGCCTGGATCAGGCAGAAAACCAAAAATTATGACTACTAGGAACATCAATCCCTTGAAAGGTCTTTTGAACAACCGGTCTGGAACTTTAACAAAAAAAAATTGCAAATAAGTTCAAGTGTTATCATTCCTATATTGTAAAAACATTAAAAAATAAAACAAACGTTTGCTATTTTAAGAAAAAACAAATTCCTGATCGCACTGATAAACAGTTAAAACAGTTGCAACTAAAATGTGGAAGAATTTGATGCAAATTCAGAAACCGTGACTTTGTCATTGACGATGAGTCTTATTTTATATTTAAGCATACAAACAAAAATTCTAATGCTGGATTTTACCCAGATGAAGGATAAAATGCACCAAAAAATGTAAAATATAAATGCAAAAGTAAATTTGAAAAAAAAAATTCTTGTGTGGATTGCCATATCCCCTCGTGGAATCTCAAAACCATTTAGTGTTCGTGCGAGACTGGCAATTAACCAAACAGTGTACGAAAATGATTGCATCATCAAGTGATTGATTCCTTTTATCAACAAACATCACAGTGATAATAATTATGTATTCTGGCCTTACTTGGCCTCTTCATATTATGCAAAAAGTGTGACCAATTACCTCAATGAGAAAAATATCCTTTATGTAACAAAAGTTGAAATCCGGTATGTGTCCCAGAATTATGACCAATAGAAGATTTCTGGTCTATCCTTAAATCCTACGTGTACCAAAACAATTGGGAAGCTGAGAATGAAGATCAGCTGCGAAAAAGAATCTATTCTTGCTTAAGAAAAGTTAATAAAAATCTTGTACAAGGCATGTGTAAAAATGTATACAAAAAAGTTGATGCAGTACATCATAATGGCGAGAAAATATTATTTCAGTCCCAAAAGTAATAAGCTAGAACATTGCTTAATATTTTGTACAAATTTTTTTGTTAATTAAACTTTTTGTTGTACTATTACTGCTTGTGTTTATTTTGTGCCAAATTTTTGTTACCAGGGGTTAATAGCTTTTACATTCACACTGACTGACTCATTTATTTGATTGGTAAAATTAATCTGTTTAAACAAATCGTAATTTTGATATTGGTATTATTTTAATTAACACCTTTGGACCCCCATTTAAATAAACTACATAATCCCTAACAGTGTTTTTGACAATTCCACTGGGTTATCCTTCAATCTACCAAAAATAGTTCCACCATGGTAAAGTAAACTTTTTTATACAAATATTTCATCATGTAGTTTGATACATAATTTCTGCTTATCCAGAAGAGAATTAAAAATTGAATATATAATGCCTTTTATGTTGAAGAATATACAAAAGAGGGTATAACTAATTTAGGTGTATAAAGTTTATCTTCAATTGTTTTTGGTCGGATAACTGAAATATGTTGCATAATTACTTCTTTTTTATTGTCCATTTTCAAGGAGCTTAAAAAACAAAAAACTCATCAAACAGACCAGGTATCAGCAGTTATAATTTGGTTCACTGTTAAGCTAGAAATGTTATACTTAAACCCATAATGAAATGTTTTAAGGTAAGATTTTCATAAATTTTAAGTACAAAAAAGGTATTCCATTAAAAATTGTGAAGATTGTTTAGCAACATAGCCATCAACCATAAATGATATAACTGGATATTGGTGATC